AGCGGTGGGACAGGATGCGAATGACTGTATATACCCTGTGGCATATGCTATTGTCGAGAAGGAGAACACAGACGCCTGGAGAGAGTTCATGAAGTACCTCCAAGAGGACATTGAAAATGGCAATGAGAGGGGTTGGAAGGTTGGACATTGATGACTGATAGACAAAAGGGTCTTCAAAATGTATGTGATGAGTTATTCTCAGAGCCAGAACGTCGCTTTTGTGTACGACATATGTATACAAACTTCTATAGCACTAATCATAAGAGTAAAATACTAAAGAATTTTCTTTGGCAAGCCACCAAGTCAACAACTGTTCCTGAATTCAGACATAGAATGCAAAAAATTCATAAAGTAAGTGAAGATGCATATGGATGGGTGATGAAGAGACACCCTCAAAAGTGGAGTCAATCACACTTTCTAGTGCACTCCAAGTATGACATTCTGCTTAACAACATATGTGAAGTGTTCAATAAAGCATTGCTAGATGATATAGAAAAATTGATTCTAAATATGTTGACATCAGTGCAAATAACGTTCATGAAATGGATACAGTAGAAACGAGAAAAAATGAGACGATGTCAAGGTTGTTTACGTCCAAAGATTAAAAAAGGAATGCTCAAGATCTCTGAGTTGTCAAGAAAATGAACGTTGTACTTGTCTAGGGGGCCCAAGGTGGCAGGTTGATTGCAGTTATGAGAAATTCGTAGTTGATCTCAAAGAACATACATGTGCATGTAGAAAATGGGAGCTTACAGGTATTTCGTGTGTGCATGTTGTGGCAGTGATACGGGACTGCAGAAATGAACCAGAGGATTTTTTTGACAATTGTTACACGATCGAGACATAGATGAACTGTTGCAATAACATCATGAACCCAATCGATAGCAAAATGTTGTGGCCTGATGTAAATGCTCCTAGAAACATCCAGCCTAAGTGGACTGTGCCGCAACGTGGACAGAAATAGAAAAAGAGAAGGAAACGGGCTGAAGAAATGGTAGTACAAAGTCAGGAAAAGTCATACATCAAGAAGATAGGGCAAGTGCGCATGACATGTTCAATATGTAGATTGAAGGAGCATAATAAAAGATATCACTCCAGCGATAATGCCCCAATTCAAGTATGTATTTCTCTCTGTCAATGTAAGATAATTTCGTCATTTGCTAACCTACATACTTTCGCACAGGAATGGTTCAATGCTGAATTAGAACAAGTTGAGTCAAATACAAACGTACCAATAAACGAACATGTGAGTAAATATGAAATTATTTTCTTCTTTTTTGTGATAATTCACTCCATTTGTTATTTATTATAAAGATTAGATTTTGTTGTATTACAGGGTAAAATGGTGTCGTCAAGAGGTCAAAGATTGTCATCGACCTAAAATCCAAATGAAGAAGAGCCAATACGTTGAATTCCAACCCCCATTGTTGCTAGACAAACTCACATGAATAGTGGAAGAAGAGGCCCTGCATGAAGTGAACTGGCAATGCGAAGTTGAATGAAAGTATTGGCTATTATGATTTGTATTGATGAACATTTGATGTTTTTTCTTTTTATTTTGTGAGGGAATGAGTTGGGAATTGATTTTTTGTTATGCTCGTGATGGAAAAATATCGTAAGGAGCCTTTGTGGCAGATCATTTCTTTGTCGATCTTCTATGTGATTCTTTTTTTTTACCTAGTGATGGCCACAAAACGCCACCATAAACAACCTATTAAAATGTACATATCAAGAGAGAAATTTCCTCCGCCAAATGAACTTTCATAACTGATTTCTACAAATCCAAAAAATTTCATAATGAAATTAAAAACGATTACATCAAAGTCTTAGATCCAAGTCTTACAATATACATAATTTACCACAAATACAATAAAAGTCTTCAACTTGATGACATAGTTGCAACAAATTCATTGAACTTTCCCCTTTCCTTTCCCATCATCCTCCGCAACCCCCTTTCCTTTGCGCATGGTAATGTTGATTGATATCTCGATGTCTTTTCTTTAGTTATTTGAACACATGTGTTGAACATACAAGACAGGTCTTGGTACGAATATTTAGCTTTACAATCACTCGAACAAACATAACTCGATTTCGCAATAGATTGCTTTTCATTCTTCCACTCGAAGTGACCA